TTTTAATGACATTTATTTTTAAATTATTAAATACATATGTATTTACACTAGGATGATAGTGATATTTGATGTAGTGGAATCCCTGTCAACCCTCGACAGAATTATTTGATTTTGGAATATTTTCTTTAAAATGTCTTGATTTCTTTGTAAAAATAATTAGTAACCTATAACTTTTAAACCGATAAAAGCTTGATCAGTATTATTTATGAGTACAAAACTAAGGGCAGTCGTCACTCATCATTCAAATTTTATCGAATAGCAAATTAAGCTGTACCATTGTTGAAGCCTTGTAGACATTTGAACATGTCTCTAAACAGACTGTGTAAAATAAAAAATCTTACATGAGTTATGATTTTTAAGAACACTGAAAACTATTTTTAAAGAGCATTCATATATAGCAGCTTTGTCCAAGTCAACTATAATTGTTTTTTCAAGTAAACGCCTATAAGTCAATTAACTAAAGAGTAGTACAAAAATCGAATTATTTACCATGTATATATATTAAATAATTTAATTATGTCATAAAAATACGACTGGAACTCAGTTACGATGTTGATTATACATTTCACTGTTATAACTTATTAGTTATTACTAATCAGAGAAAGATACCTAATACCTATAAATACGATTTTTACAAAAATACCAAAAATGTACGATCTGGGACAAATCTAAAATAAAAACCAACTCGTTTAAAAATCCTATTTACCATGAATTATTGTACTGGTGCAGTGGATTTTCTGGCGATAGATTAAACTTTAATCATTAAAGTCATGTTCATTATCCGCATACATTCTGTATAATATTCCAATCTCTTCCTTCCAATTGATAAAATAATAATATACTTAGGTCTAATCAAGGGCGCAATTTAAATGAAAAAACTGGAGATTATGTTACTATATTTTTTTCACAACTATGTTAGCATAATCACTATTTATTTTTTATTTTTTTTTATTAGAAATAAGCCTCAGCAGCGGTGGTCATTGGCTGACATTGACAACATTGTTTTTACATCATAATCACTATTAAAATGTTAATAATCAAGAAACAATTTTCGGGTGCTGAACTCAAAATTCATGGTGCTAAGCCCTTCCCCAGATTGTGTCGATGGGTATTATATTGATCATATACCATAGTCACATCTCATGAGAACCAAAAGACTACTTAGCTTTAAATATGTGAATTTATGTAACCATTAGATATATAATGATTAATAATATTTATTTTTATGCCTTGTAAAATATTTGAGATAATGCATTTAATTTTTTTTTTAATAGACGTATTGTATAACTCCGGTTCCTCTTCAAATCGAAAAAATCTTTCGCCTTTAAAAATAGACGTATTGYATACATTGTATATTATATATATTATATATTGTACCTGTATTTAAAAACATTAAAAATGATTGTGAAATAACTATTGTTATTATAGTTTATTGTGATCTCTTATAAACGGTTAAAGACATAAATAAAATATTTAGCGTCACACTATATTATATCAATCAATTCACCGTCATTTTTGTATTTATGTATTGCATATTTGTATTGTGCCTTTTGAGCGGTGAATATGATAATAATATAATACAATCTATACAAATAATTTTATCAATAATAAAAATTACTTGTTGCGATTATGATCGCATATAAAATTGGAGTACAAAGTTATGATACGTACTTTATACATAGATACCTTTTTTTTCAGGTGAAAATCACTACATGAGGACCGTACTGTTTTCACATTGCTTAGCCCCTATACATAGATACTTTACCTACTGTCACCTAACAGCTAACACAATACTGGCAAACATAGATACMTACAACCTACGTTTAATTAAATTAAATATATTATGAACGCCAATCGATAGCAGAYAATGAAACCCTATAAGGATAAAACATTCTTACCTCTTATTACATCCAATAACGTTGGAATCTATCATTTTATAGTTTATACATATCGTGAACATTTTGGAACATAATGATGCAACCAGGTAAGATAATAATTTATGTACCTACTAAATTGTATTGAAATGACTAATACAAGTATATAATGTAAATTGTCAACGTTGCCTATATGTAGTTTTAATAATTAATTGATAAACGATGCCAAGTTGGAGTAGAAAACATATAGTAATTTAGTAGGTACCTAATACCTACCTATCTAMGTAAAAATTAATGGAAGAACAAACATTAAGAAGGCATTGAACTAWAGACATTTTAGAATAAAGATTAATATTTGTATAATATACACATAGGTAGGTGTAAATAATTGATAATCAGGCCAATGGATGTACTATGATAATATTAATATTTGAAGTATAAAATATATATTTATAATTTATATACAATTTGTTGACGAAAAATTTAACTTCTGATATTTTTATGTTTTAGTAATAATTATTTGGTGTATACAAAAATACACACCTACCTAGTTGAATTAGTTAATTTGGTAGATATATACAACTAACTAAATATGTGTATATATATATACATTAGGTTATTTTTAGTGAATATTCGCTTCGTGTCTTCTCTTCCTTTCTTATAAATAAATTTCACTAGTAGAAAACCCCCTTTMCCTTAACTTAGCGACTTCTCTCTCCAGTTACTTCCTTTTATAATCGAAGCAACGCGACGGAGCGTTGGATATTTACTTAAAATATAATATAAGACGAAGAACCTAAAAAATTATAATTCTATAAATGTATAATATTTATTAGTTAGGTACTACTATTTATTCTCGTGRACACAAAGTTAGCAAAATCTTACTCCGCTGGGTGTCGGTTGGATTTTACTATGTGTCCATTTATACACAAAAACATCCTTGAAAAATGGCCTGATATATATAATTATAGTGTTGTGTACTATGTACGATGGTCTTTTTTTAAATAACAATTATTTTATTATTTATTGTATCTCTTTTTTATTTTWTTTATTTATATCTTTTTTTACACTGATTTAAACTGTTTAGAATAGTTAATTTTTAATTTTTATAGATACCTTTTTATAGATATACCAAATACTTGATTGGTAAGCTAGTAGAAACTGTACCTAATACTTAATTTACTATCATGGTTAATGACAGATTTATTAGTAAAAAAAAAAAATAACTATTCCTACTAAGTAAACTGTATCTAAAAGCTTCTGTTGTACCAACGATTTATATTAATATTGTTACATATACATATTTATGTATTTTTTTCAGCAAGGGTTACTAAATTTGGAGCTTATGTGTATGAGGATGGAACAAAATACATTGGAGACTGGAACGATCGAGGTCGAAAACACGGCTTGGGCCACGTCCAGTTTAAAGACAATACACGATATGAAGGAGGATTCAGTAATGGACTTTGCTCGGGTCTTGGAGTTCTCCAGTATCCGGATGGAGCGAGGTAGGTATTTAAAAAAAAAATCATATTAGCAATTARCAACAAAATAATATTATTATTATTCAAGTATAAAACGTTAATAGATATACCTATAGTAACTTATTCATGCAYTTTTTATATTTATGAAATATGAATGCACTGCAGGTACGAAGGAGAATTCATGGAAGGATGGTTTCATGGTCACGGCATGTTTTGGAGGGCTGATGGCATGAAGTACGAAGGGCAATTTCGAGGTGGTCGTATCTGGGGATTAGGTAATATGGATTACAGTAATTACGCACAAATAAAACTATTCAATCACACCGACTCGAGAGCTAAGTCCTAAAACATATATTTGGTATATAATAAATTCTTATACATGCGTATGCGTACATATTATATAATATATAGTACTTACTACTTATATATTAAATCAAATAATAATAAATCGTTCCATAAAACATGAAATATCGTTTTTAAACTTGTATAGGATTAGTAACATTTAAGGACGGATCCCACGGACTTCCGAGACACGAAGGATTTTTCAAAGATTGCAAATTTGTACAAAAGAAAAAATGTCCGTCAGTCGTTACAGATGCACAACGAGCAGCATTGATGGCAAGAATACAAACTGAACAAACATAATTTTTTAATACAATTTAGTGTAAAGAATAAAAAAAATATATATATAATTCTTGATAAATAATTTAATAGAAATGGGATTTTTTTTTTTATCTCGAATGATTTTGTAATTCTTAATAGTTGTAATGTTAAAATGACGCCATATGTACATGGGTTGTCTTCGAAATAAAACGTATACAACATACCAAATTTTACGTCCACAATAATTATTGTACCCTGTTATTTTTAATAATATTTCAAATTAGAGTGAATTAAGCTAYCTAAACCTTTAAAAAAATATAAAGGTTAGATTGCCATCTTGAGCATCTCTGTGGATTTTATTGATATTTTAATTACAAAGTAAATTGTAAGCATTTTAAATCTATAATTTTTATAC